ACCGACGGGGGGGGCGGATATCCGCCCCCCTGAAGTTTTTCGCGGATAGCGGGAAAACCGCGGCGCGTAGCGCCGATAAATTTGGTACAGTGGCGGCGCCACGAATTTTCGCCAGTGGGGGCAAGCTTGAGGTGATCAGACTGTTGTCTGATACGCCAATCTGCAAAATCCATGAGCACCTTGCCCCTAGTTAGATGTTGCCATTCAAAATTATTATGGTTTCAGGTTTAATGCATACGTATTGAGCTTAGCCATTAACCCTCGCGGGCCCGGAGGGGGGGGGGGCGTTTTCGTCTCCCCCTGGCGAATAGGTATTTGCGATAGGTACCTCACGAACGCTTAGGGATAGAAAGACCAAACTTGTTGTACCTTATTTCCCATTAATTTGACATCTTTTGAAGCAAAAAAATTGGACCTAGCCTCCTTGATTACGTCTCAGGGCCGATTTTTCTAGACCCCTGCACGGCAAACTTCAGCGTCACAGACGTGAACTTCAGCTAGCTGCCAAAAATAGTATTAGAAATAAAATAAAGACAAATTACGAGCACGGTTGTGTAGCATTTGACCTAGAAAAAATACTTAAGAAACTTTGACGACCTGAGGTCAGAGGTCAGGTCAACGACCCCGAACTGGGGCTTTAGTTTTTTTTCGCAAATAACTTCAACAAAAATGGTCCTAGAGCTACGGCAAAGGTACCTTCGCATTCGCCTTGTCAAGCCACGTCGAATGACATATATATTGTTTGGGAACGGTCAGGTTTTACGTTGACCTCAACACTCATGTGACCTCGAATGACCTTTGGTTGACTTTGACACATGAAAGGTGTCGTTTGTGATGATTTCGTAGCCGCTGATCACGATTCTGGCATCCATTTTGCTCTAAGCATTCATTTAGAGTCTCGGGATGGCAAAACATGTCATAGTTATTATGCCTGACTTGAATAAGTGAAATAGCCTCTAGCAAGGATACTCTCTTGTGGCTTTGACCTTGAGTTGTAGCAGCCTTCTATCGTAAGGTAAAGCACAAAATACAAATAGGGGTCCGCTAAGCTTCAAAACATCTCGGAATTTAGTATGCAAGATTTAAGAAAAGGTGGCAAAGTTTGTGGTCAATTTTGAGCATGACCGTGACCTTGAACTTGAATGTTATGCACATCATCGGAATCTCCAGACTCTCTTCTTTCGTTAAACATCCATTTTAGCCGGTTTCATGTATCATGCCGTCCTCTGGACCACAAAAGATGTTTGATACCACTACAAAGTGCCGGTTTTTGCCTTTGACCTTGACTTCTGACCTTGAAAATTGGCTTGAGGTAAAAAAGTTTCGATGCTTTAGAATCTTCTCGTAGATACCTTTCGTTTGGTACCATTTTTGTTTCCGTAGCTGCCTTATTTACGGAGTTAGACAAGTGTAGGGGGGGGGGGTACCCCGGACTGCGGTGGTTGGGATTACCCCCCGGTCCCGGCCGGCTTAAGGTCGCGAGTAAATAAAACTATAAAACCAGTAAAACGCCTTTTGGGCGACCAACGGAGCGAGCGAGAGGATGGGCCTTGCACGTGCGAAATTGCGAGGGGGTACCTCCAACTAACTTTTGCACTGTGACTGCACTCTACTAACCGGTCTTTAGCGATGTGCCAAATTTCAGCGCAATCGACCTAGCCGTTCTCGAGATCTGGAAGCGGCACACTGCACGTGCGCAGGGGGCGTCGAAGTCTAGTAGGAAAATCTGGCAATCCCCGGCGTGACGTAACGTCGGGGATGACCGACGGCACCTTGCACTGAAAGATACGGCAGAACGGCTATTTTTGAAAAATGATTAAAAATACTTTTGTGCTGTTATGACACATAAAATGCTTATCAGCATGTTCCTCATCATGTGATAAAGCTATATCCGTGGTCGAAAATAGCTGAGCCCCTCCCAATTTCCAACCACCGACCTCATAAGCAAAGGATGTAAGCGTAATCCTCAAGGGCGACTTTCCTATACATCTCCGTACATATGCGTCCTTATGGAAATCGGTAGTGTGGCGATTGGCGACGCGCGCGACATCTGTGTGGCGACCAAGTGGCGACTGTGGCGACACCTGGTGGCTGCTTTTCTGCTGTATGTAGGTATTGGGGTTTTGCCAGATATGGTTCCTACTGCTACACCACTATGTTGACCCAATACTAGAAAGTTATTTTGCCAGTAAAAGGCAAGCAAATTGAAAGTCAATTTATAAAATTGCTTATAAATGATAAAGGGAAAATAATAAAGAAGTTTAGATTGAATAGTTATTTAAATATACAACCGTGAAACTTTATTTTGGTAGGTTTAGTTGAAATTAGTCCGTGCAACCTTGTATTTAGGGCCTTGCACGTGCGCACGTGCAAGCGGGGTCCAAACTGACTTTTGCACGGCACCCTACTAACTGGTCCCCAACCGTGTACCAAATTTGAGCGCAATCAGCCCAGCCGTTCTCGAGATCTGGGAGCGCCCCCTGCACGTGCGCACGTGCTGTAGCACCCCAACCTTAACACATGCAGATGAATTAGCTGATGGAGACCTAACTGTGTACCGAGTTTCAATTCAATCGGCCCAACCGTTGTGCCGTTATTGAGGTTGCAGTTTTGGGGGTTCTTAAAAAATGTCCAACTTTACCACGCGCCACGTGCGGTGTTTGGCAAGAACGCATGGTGGCCATCACACCACAGAACTTTTACGTCCAAGTGACATTCAGTAAAGAAGACCGCTTGTCAATCGGATGTCCCGTTCCTAAGATATTAGCTTTTGAAGAGCGTCCCCACGGCCGGCCGGCCGGCCGCTCATACTCAAGATTTTCCCTTAATCCAGTATGAGACTCCGCTCGCTTCGCTCGCTCCGTAACTAGATTGCGAGACACAAAGACCTGTGAAAACGTTATGTCGCTCGTTGAGATGTAAAATGGTGTATTCCTCAAAACAATAGTCAGTACGTACCTAGAACTAGGTACTGACTAGGTACTGAACTAGGTAAAAGAGAACTTTCCCTTTTCCCGTAGGCGTAGTACGTATATCAATATGTGCGATTCTCTCACACACGATTGATATACCAGAATAAGCTCCATTAGGGTGACCCACATACATTTCCAAATAACCCGGATATATACATACCTATCACATGGCAGCCTTCTGGTGGATCAAAATGAGTAGAAGAATGAGTGGGAGTAGGAGATATGCAACAGACGGTCTGAGAACGAACTTTCTGCTGATGCACTTGATACGGGGACCGTCAAAAACAAGCGTACTATTATAACCGCCTATCATGAATGTTGCGCCGGTCTTCTGTTCCCTTTTCCACATCAGCCAATTTTTGTGGGGGCAAAAACATAGTCTTGCCCCCACGGCCTCCTGTCAGTGGGGGCAGTCTGCCCCCCACAGGGGAGGAGTCCTCGGGGGCGGAGGGGGGTGACGGACCCGTCCCCGGGATCCCTACCGAAATGCTACTGTTCTTGCGACCGCAGGATCCTGCCCCTGACATGTCCACGCTCCCCGCTGGAGGGATAGGAGTGTGCGAAGGAAACGCCCCAGAATGCGCCCCGCCGGCTCCATACACCACCCGATATGGACGTGTGTCCCGCCCCGTCGTGCCGTACCCAGGCAATCCATGAGCTGATGATGACGTTCTCCTACTCAGGATCATGGACGACGACCAGGTGCTGGCAGAGATCCTGACGTATGATGAGCGACAGCAGATGCTGTTCGAATTCGGATTCGGAGAGGACGGGGGCGGCGAAGACGACGGAGGCACTGACGTGACGTCGTCGCGGGCGACACCGTCGCGGCCGACGAGGGGTGGCAGCAGATGCTGTCCGGATTCGGGATCGAGGAGGACGGCGAAGAGGACGGAGGCGCTGGTGTCGTCACGGGCGGCGACGTCGTGGCCGACAGGGAGCGTCGACCCCCGGGGGATTTCCCTCTCGGCCGCGTGGTGGGGACAGGTGGCGTCTGCCCGCCCGCCCACGTGTCTGGGGTCACGTCTCCGGTGGTCGTGGTCACTGCGCGGGCCCACGCCGGGTCATGTCGGCCCCCGCAGCCCGGGGGAAGTGGCATGCGTCCGCTCCCCCGGGCTGATCTGGGTCTCCTGGGCCCACGCCTCGCCGGCCTTATAATTGGTGATTCATTCGTCCGGCGGGCTGCTTTCCGCCCTCAGGTGGGTGATTGGGAGATCACGACCTGGGTCCCCTCGTCGTCGGTGGGGAAGACGTGGAGGGGCTGCTTGGACTCGGGGGCACTGATGCGGGTCGCCAGAGCCTGGGCGGAGGAGACCAGGCGAGGAGGGAGGGAGCCGGCCGCGGTGGCCATCTGGCTTGGAGGGAATGACGTATACCCTCTAAGGGCTCTCCCGGGCCCTCTAAGTGGGGCCCTCTGGGCCGCCGTCCGCGACGCCGTCACCACAATCGGTGAAGAGGTCGCGCCAGTGACGATGATCGGGCCGACGCCAAGGCCCTCACGCGACGCCCCTGGACTTCGCCGTGCTGAGGACGGAGGCGCCGTGGTGGAGGCGAAGTGGGAGGCGACTGCGGCGTTCCGGTGTCTGGACCGGCCGGTGCACAGGTGGCTGGGCGGCGAGGATCGACTTCGCGTGAGACACCTGTCGGTCGGCAAGTGGGTGCTGGAGCGGCGCCGGGAGAGCAGGAAGGTATCAGCATACATGCTCTCCCGCGCCGCTCTGGCCAACTTCGACGATGACGGCGTCCACCTCTCGCCGGCGGGATATGAGAAGTTGGCAGGAAGACCAGGCTGGCTGAACTGGCTCCAGCCGTCGCGGTAGGTGGCGCTGGCGGCGTGGTGTGGCACAGGCGAGTGATCTCGGTGCGGATGTTCTGTTGTGTAATGCTACTTTTGTGTTGCTTATTATGTGAACCATAATGTTTATTGTGTGGCTTCCCAATGTAGGGGGGAAGGGTGTAGGGGTCCGGCGCCGCCGCCGCAAGGAGCCGCCGCCTGGCGGCCGACCGCGGGACTAGACCCAGCTCGGGTCAGCGGAGCGGCCGGCGGCGCCGGGCAGTCAGGCGTCCGCCCTGACCGGGAGGAGAGCTCACGGGACGTGCGTCGGCTGCCGCGGCAAATACAAGGAGTGGTTCGGTGAACGGTGTTGTGTCGGTGGACGGCGGAGCGTAACATAAGATCATGTGACGTCATCAAAGGTCACCAAAGGTTTTTTTGCCAATGACTCCGTACAGGAACAAGATACAGCCGCGCGGATGGTCTCATTGTGTTCAGCTCGTCAAGACGCATCGAATGATATACATGATGACCTCGAGGTCACGTGACCTGAGGTCAACCTTTGACCTTGACCTTTCGAGGTCAACATATATATCAATCGATGCGAATTGACAAGAGGATCACGATGATGCCCTTAGTTTGTTCCTATCTTGACTAATTCGAAAGTTATTCGAGAAAAACTCTCTCCATATCTAGCGCCGCCATTTTGACTTTTTCGACCCCTGTGACGTCATCTTTGACCTGACCTGAAAATGACCTTAGTGAAAATTGTAGACCTTGTCCGTGCGTATCCGATGCCGTTTACCGCTTGTCGCTATCTTGCTTCGTTCTCGAGATCTCAGGGGGGCGGTCATCCGCCCCCCCCCCCCGTCGGTGCGAAGTTGGCGCAGACCCCCGTCGGTGCGCGGGTTAAATACACAATACATAATGTTATATCAACTAACAAACTGTATTAATCGAATTCGCAATCACTCGAAGAGAAACGCGCATGAGCCCTGCAAAACTACGTGATAGTGAAGCCGAATGCTCCTTTAACGGATCAAGAAATGATTCTGAGCGCAACGGCAAAGCCGTTCATTCGAGATGTGAAAGTGGCCCCGCTCGTATGCACGTGCAAACTAGACCCAAATGGACTTGAGCATGGCACCCTCTTAAACGGTCACTACCGGTGTACCAAATTTGAGCGCAATCTCCCCAGCCGTTCTCGAGATGTGGAAGCGACCCCTCGCGCGTGCGCACGTGCAAGCTGGACCCAAACTGACTTGTGCACGGCACCCTGCCAAACGGTCTCTTACAGTGTACCAAATTTAAGCACAATCTGCCCAGCCACTCTCGAGACGTGGAAGCGACCCCTGCACGTGCGCACGTGCAAGCTGGACCCAAACTGACTTGTGCACGGCACCCTGTCAAACGGTCCCTAACGACGTACCAAATTTGAGCGCAATCGGCCCAGCCGCTCTCGAGATCTGGAAGCGTACCCTGCGCGTGCGCACGTGCAGCAGCACCCAAACAGTGACACGTGGAAATGCATTATCATTTGCATGTCCACCGACATGCCACTAGTTTCAGCTCAATCAACCCAGTCGTTGTAAAGTTAGTGTTGATCGAACAAATTTGTCACCACTTACCTAGTTGGCACGTGGCGCGTGCCGTGCCCCTCACCCTATGACTTTGTGCTATGTTCAAGTGATTAAGCTTGGACGCATCTACATTGTAGACGCAGTCTCGTTCCGTTCCGTCGTGTTATTTACGAGAAAGAAGTTGATAAACTTTCGCGTTTTTCCCATAGACAAGGCATTGTGTCATTAGTTCGTGCCCTTACACGTACGGTGGCGCTAGTGTCGCTCAGCGGGAACGGCCTTCAGGCGCTGATTAAGCCAATGTAGTCTGTCTATACTTATTATAGGTCAATGCCTCAAACTATGTTTTCTGATTCAGAAAAATAAGAAATGCTAGTAAAAAAAAAAATCAGCTCCATACATTGATATTTTTTCGATGATACTGTCCCTTTAAGACAAATTCAATTAAGACGTCCCTCATGAGCGTTGCTTTCTTTCCCTTGCAGAGCAATAAAAAACCTATTTGACATTTTTTCTCTCTCAACACTGTTTTGAGAACAAGTATCCTAGAATACAACAGCATAATAAATTAGCTCAAATGCTCACCAACTACCGGATATATATCCACCAAGTACAACGACCAGAATCTGTCGGGCTGCACCGTCAGCAATTTTAAGTCGTTTGTTGTTGTTTTTACTTATGATATCGACTATTCAGGTGTGTGTAAGCGGTAATTGTGGGGATTATGGACATGGCTGTTTCAAAGTTTCAACGAAATAGGACTGTTAGTTTCCGGGATACGATTGAGGGGTATGCACGTGCGTGCGTGCAGCGGCACCTCAACATTGAGACGAGTACCAGCAACGGTTAAAGGGCACTTGCGTATAAGCAAGATTCCAGCCAAATCGGGCAGCTAGTTTTCAAATATAAACAAGGGGTGTGCACGTGCGCACGTGCGGCCGCACCCATTGCTTGAACTGTGAACCAGCAATGGTTGTCAAGGAGTTGCTTGTATACAAAATTTGAACGAAATCAGACGAGTAGTTTCTGAGATACAAAAAGGGGTGTGCACGTGCGCACGTGCATCAGCATCTCAAAATTGGGACATGCGTTATTGGTAAGGGTGTTATACCTAGCTGTGTGTCAAATCTGAAGTCATTCCGCCCAGCCGTTCCAGAGATACTGTCACGCCATTTCCATAAACATCTCTCACGCGCCACGTGCAGGTGCTCCCCCATCACACCGCATCGGTTCGGCGGATGGAAACCATCAATTTCAAAGAGTGGGGCTATGCGGCCGTGACAAAATGGATGTCGTAGGTAAACTGGCTCCCGAGTTCTAAGCGTTTACTTTTAGGGCCGTTGTGGTCATGGCCAGATTTTTTGTGTCCAGTCCATGCATACAGAGGTCTATGATAGAGCAGACGTCACACAAATGTTTTCCATCCAAGGAGAGGCACTGTACAGGGTGTCCGGAAATTATTTGCCCCTCCATCAGCTCGCCGCCATTATTAATAAACAAACAGCCCCCGGGTCATGGTTTATTGACCGATTTATCCCCTGCCCTGTCATACCCATTTCCTCTTTAAGCCCGTTTACTGTAAGAGCTGGTTCAATCTTGCTGAGCTCCTCCTTCATGATTCCCCATAGGTTTTCAATTGGGATTAGGACAGAGGAATCGATTTGACTTCCTACATCATTCCAGTCTTCACCATAACTTCAGTGCGATGACGCTTGCCAAAAGCTGGCCCCTGGCGCCTCTCACGTATCAAGGTCATGTGACCGGGTTAGGTCATGTGACTAACAGACAGCTGTGAATAGCCTTAGGCACGGTTTTAGCAATTTTTCAACAGTTCTTAAGGCGCACAGTTGGATTATAGCTGAATGAACAAGGGGCAAATAATTTCCGGACACCCTGTTAGATTTGTAGGCTGAAGGTCAGGCAGGGTTATATTTGTTTTGGCTTATTGAGAAAGAAGCATCTGTGTACTCAAGGTCTTCAGGGTCTTGCAGCATACCAACATTTAACACGCGCACTGCAGCGGGTCTGAGCCGAACACGAACTGCAGGGGGGGGGGGTTGAAAACAACCCCCCCCCCCTGAGATCTCGAAAACGGCGCAACGTAGCGACAAGTGGTAAACGGCGTTGGATAGGTTGAGATGAGATCTACAAGAAATACTCAGATGATTTTTGGGTCAGGTTAAAAACGAGGTCAGCAGAGGTCACCAAACTCAAAATGTTGCGATTTTTTTTAGCGATCTCGACATCCCTCCATATTTCCCGCTTTATCTCGGGAACTAGATGAGCTAGAAAGTTGCGAGAAAAAGCATTCGATAGCTGTTGAAACGCTCTTTCGCTAAGCTGTCCTCAGATTTGACCTAAGGTCAACGGTTCAGCCTATAGAGGTCATGTAATGTCAGATCTATATTGCAAATTTTTCGGAAATGCTTTTTCTGCAATAACTTTTCTTCCCATAGAGATAGAGAAATAATTCACACACCATCGTTCTTAGCTCGTCAAGGCGCATCGAATGGTATATAATATGACCTCGAAAGGTCAAGTTCAAAAGTTGACCTCAGGTCAAGGTCATGACCTGGCCGAAATAGGTCATGTTGCATATCATTCGATCCGCATTGACGAGACAAACACGATAAACGTCGAACGGAGTCTGTATCTCTATTCAATTAAAAGTTATTGAAGAAAAACCGTTGGTAACCGTCGAATTGCATGCCGGGCCCAAAAAGTGACCTGACCTAAGGTCACAGAAATAAAAATTTCGAAATATACAAAATGTTCCTTATGGTCTCCTAAAATGTTTCTGAAAGTTTCATAGCATTCAGTCAAATGGTGTGGATGTAGCACAGCGTCAAACTTTTTATGAGGTGAGGTCACTTATCGTGACCTGGTGACCTGACCTTGCATGACCTAACACTTATTTTTTCAGAGGTGATGTAAAATTGTTTGATGAACAGCTATACAAAGTTCCAAAGTCGTAGCTTCACTGGTTTTTGAGTTACCGCGAAAAAACCAGAGGGTGGGGGTTGAAAACAACCCCCTGCAGTGCGCGTGTTAAAGGTCCTGACCCCTGGGTTTCCGAGGTCTCACGACATATCTGTGCAAATGTTGAGACCCTGGATTTCCAAGGTCCCATGACACATGAAATGTTGATGTCCTGGGATTCTAAGGTCTCACAGCAAATGCTAATGTTGAGGTCGTGGGATTTCAAGGTCCCGCGGCATGTGAAAATTTTGAGATCCTGGGTTTCCAAGGTCTCACGACAAAATGACAGTGCACAGTCCAGGGTCCATCAAGGTCCCAGACCTTGGACTCTGCAAATCCTGGATCTCGGACCTTTTTGGGACCTTGGCACAAGTTTGCCTCCAATTAACTTGTGCACTGCACCCTACTAACCGGTCCCTAGCGATGTGCCAAATTTGACGCAAACGGCCTAGCCGTTTTCGAGATCTGGAAGCAGCACCCTGCACGTGCGCACGTACGAAATGGGTCCCAACTGACTTTTGCATAACACCCTTGTATTCGCCGGTCTATAATTTGAAGGCGTCGTTCACTCACTGTCCGGTGACAAAGGTGGCGCTGATGTTTTGAGCATTTTTGTTGATGCGCTCGGTGTATTGTCGCGGCGTGAGTTGCTGTCGTTTTCACTAGGAAATTTAGAGGAAGTCCCATGAGATGAGCTACGTTTGAGTTTGTGTCTGGACAGAGGATATGTGTCTAGATGTTATTAAGATCGAACCCAGACGCGTTAATTCCA